GCTAAAACAAAACTCTCAAATAGATATGTGATGACTAAAAGGAATAAATATACAAACTTTGGGCTTATGAGTTTCAAATCATGCTTGTTGGGCCTTGCAAGCCCACCAACATGATCTTTGGGCCCAAAGAGATAACGCTTATATGTTATTGGGCCTTCAATGACCCAATATTTTATAAAAGGACATTCAATAGTTTTATGTGCTAGTGGGCCAAAGTGTCCTGTTATAAAAGCTAGTAAGGTCACAGTAATCAAGTGCGAGTTGGACCATTGTGTTTTCGCATCCACGACAGCCTAAGGTTCTTACGATAGTAGTGGGACATAATACTCCCCTTCTCTTCATTTGTTAAGGCTTAAGAGAAATCAAAGTAGACAAAAATTAGGACAGTACATAATATGGATTAATCAATACTCATTCGTTAAGGCAATACAAAAATCAATAATTACGAATACATGTCAACATCGGAAAACATCGGGTTTTCCGAGGAATTTAATACTACTCGTTCGAAACTTTATAACAATATTACAAAATACCCTTCGTGTGTATATATATATATATATATATATATATATATGTTTTTAAAATCATTCATGCATCAACTTATGGATCTTCACACTTTAATAAACAAAAGTCTCTTTAGAAAATATCGGACTTTCTGGGTTTTACAAAATACACAAATCATTTTACCACAACAATGCTTATGAACTCACCAACATTTCATATGTTGATGTTTTTCCAAAATAACTTGTATTCTCAGGTAACAGGTAAGCGGAAGAATTATAAGAAGTAATGTTAGATGTTATGTTGTCAAATGTACTCAAACTATTTAGGTTATGAATGTGTAGTGTTAAAACAATGTACTTGATGTGAACAATTCTAGTTGTAATATATTGATGCATGGTGACGCTTATGTTATGTTCATGTATAATCATTGTGATGATATTCAATTAAAGTCACACAAGCCCTCGGACGTTTCCGCCGTCTGGTTCGGGGGTGTGACAGACATTCAGGTGGATGGTTGCCGAAATTATATCGAGAAACCAGTGGTGATCCTTAACAGGAGGACAAAGACTATGTGAAGCAAGGTTGTGGATCTCGTGAAGGTGCAGTGACAGCACCGAAAGGGTTCAGAGTTGACGTAGGAGCCTGAGGACGAGATGATGGAGCATTATCCTGAGTTATTTGCGGCAGCAGACTTCGAGGACGAAGTCCAATTCAAGTGGGGGAGATTTGTAACACTCGATTCAAAGTATTTTACATTTTGACCCTTGGTATAAAAACTGTTTGCAAAATTGGTCCCAAATGACATTAAATGAAAAATAGAGATTGTGTGTGTACACTAGGCGTACGTGGTCAGGGGACAACCCTAGTTTTTAGGGTTTGGACCCTATTTAAACAACCTTATGCCCCAAGATTCTCTCATTACCAGCCTCCATTGCCCCTTTGAGCCTCATTTAGAAAACGTAACTCATTCAGAGAGATTTGATCCTTGTGTGTATGTTTTGTTGGGTGTTTGGTGAACCTTGAAGAAGAAGAAGTTTGGTGAAGGAGTCTTGATCAAGTTGGAGCTTGTAGATCCAGAGTTTACTCACATTTCTCAGCTTCATAGAGGTATAAAGTCTTGACCTTGGTTATTCAATGCTTAGATCTAGATGTAGTGAAGTTTTGGGTATATTTTGGTTCCATGAATGAGTTCTGGTGAGTAAATATCACTCCAGACATTTTGGGTTGCTCCTCTTGATGTTTATAAGGTCCCCAGTCAATCAAGTTTGCATCTTGATGGTTGTAGATCAACCAGGCATGGGTTAATGCTCATTTGGTGAAAGTAGAATGTTAAATCTAGGGTTTGAGTCTCATTGAGCCATGCAAAGGCATCAAGTTAGTAACTTTATCGTTTAATACATTCCCCAAGACTTGGATCTGCAATTTGGACATTTGGACTTAAAGCATTAAGTGCTTAATAACATTTTGGAAAGCATATGTTGAGCATACGTGTTTGGGTTCCCGACTCTTTTGACATAAACTAGTATGTGGTGCATAACTAGTGGTACGTGGGGCGTGCTCGCTAAAAAGCCTTTTGGGCTACTTCTTGGGTCTGAGGTTGATTGGGCTTGGGCCATGGATTTTTGGGCCTAGGATAAGAAGGTTAAAAGGGTCTTTTACCCTTTATAATAAAGATTATGATTCGGGCTTTTAGTGGTAGTTATTACCCTGATTATTTATTAGAGCTAGTTTCTATGTGTTTAGTTGAGGAGCCACCGTAGAATCCGCATGCGAGTGTGTGTTGGTTCATCATTTGATTGAGGTGAGTCTCCTCACAGTGTTTCGTGGGTCGATGGTACCAATGTCGGCCCATAGATTATTGTTACTAGTATGCTAGTTGTCTATGTGACTCTTGCATGTGTTGTATATGTTTGTATGTATGTCGGGGTGGGGATTGATGCCAAGCAGGGCATGATGAGTGTCTTGGGCGGGGCCCATTGCATGATACAATTAGATCTGTACCGGTCGGGGCTCGATGTCGGGCGGGGCCCGATGGATGTTGGGTAAGGCCATTATATGTATGGAATGGGGTATGTTGGGGAAACTCACTACGTTTTGTACTTACGTTTTTTAGTTTATGTTTCAGGTACTTCTGGTGCGAAGAGGAAGAGCTCGAGATGATCGCATTGCACACACCATGATTTTCCACCCTATTGACTCTGATGTATTTTAAATGATTATTGACATACTTTGGCTTTCTTTATGATTCTATAAATATGTTTGGTTGATGGTTTTATTAATACAAAAATCAAAATTTTTGTCTATAAGTTTTGGGACGTTACAAACTCCTTTTTTGTCAACCTATAAATAGGGAGGTTAGTTAGAAGGTAGAGTAAGTCTTTTGAGCGTTCTTACAAAGTGTAATCAAACCTTGTTACTCTAAATCAAAAACATAACATTATTTACCTTCTTATGGAATCATTTCACATATTTGTTCTTGATAATCATGATTTCATTTAAATCAAACTAGTAAATCGATCATATAGTTTCATCAAGTCTCTACGAAGATCATGAGGGATCTCAACATCATGAAGTATTCCCCTTCTTGCCAAGTACTCGTCGCTTCAAACATCAAATGTTTGTATCGGTGGAACGATCTCCTTTTCATTAGACTTACATATTGCATTTCCTTCATCTTCAAGAATCATATTATGCGATATAATATACGTATACATCACCTCACTCATTTTCTTCTTTTCAACAAAAAATGTTGGGAATTCAATATATGCCAACGTTTTTTAAGAGTGTCAAACGCTCGTTTAACATCCTTCCTTTCCTTCTCTTGAGCTCTCTTAAACTTCAACCTTTTTTGATTATTTGGACAAGACAATGACTTCACAAAACAAGAACGCTTTGGATATATATCTCGTCCACAGGATAATGTCTGAATCTATGGCGTTCCATGCACAACAAATGAAGAATCTGTTCTAGTCTCGTTATACATGCCATCGAATAATGAAGACATGTTAAGAACATTTATGTCATTCAGGGAACCAACATAACCAAAGAATGCATGTCATATCCACAAATCATGTGATGTCACCTCTTCAAGTACGATTGTTGGATAACCATGATCACCTCGGGTGTATTGGCCTTGATATGCATTCAGGAAATTGTCCCATTCCCAGTGGAGGCAATGTAGGCTTCATAACATTATAAGGAAGTCGTGCACATTCGAATGACGAGCACATAATTATTGCACGCCACTACAAGTATGTTTACACAAATATCGTGGACCATACAATCTCATGACATACTTATAAAATTTGTGAAGACTTTCGCGTGCAGTACATCCGAACATCCTAAGATTCTCATCTAGTGCATCAGGGGAAGTGACATATGCTAGTTGATGAAGTGTCACAATACATTTTTGTAAGGGAGTAAAACCAATTGTACCTGTAGCATCTACACGTTGTTGGAAATATAGACATGCCTCTGTGACGTCGTTGACGATATGTTGAAACAAATGTTTGTGCGTATGGAAACGACGACAAAAATAATATCATTGACAAGTCGCATGTTCATCAAAATAATCTTGCATGAGGCGTTAGTGACCAATTTCACAATTTCTTTGAAAAACCTTCTTTTTCTTCGACGATCATTTTCAACATTTTGTTGATGTAGTTCTTCTATCTTCTGTTCAGCCTCTTGAATAACCTATATGACCGATTCTAACACCGCATCAAAAAAACTAGACAATGAAGATGATATTTCTAAAGAGATTGAAGAAGAAGGTTTTGATGTGGTATGTAAAGGAAGGTAGGGTTATACTTATTATATATTATAAAAAAAATAGTTTTTAAAAAATTGAGCTACCTCTTTAAAACACAAATAATTAAAGATTCTAAAAGTTCAGGTAGGGATGTCAACGGGGGCAAACGGGGCGGGGAGTGCATCTCCCGCCCCTGCCCCCGAAATTTTCCCATTCCCCCACCCTCGCCCCCGCCCCTGGAATGTTCAACCTTCCTACCCCCGCCCCCGCCCCCGAAATCCCCTTTAATACCCCCACCCCCACCCCTGTTCCCCCACTCCCGATTGATTGTTCCCCCACTCCCGATTGATTTCGGACTACTTTTTTTTTGTGCTAAAAGAAATTGTTATTTATGATAAAGAAAACTATTTTTTAGGTATCAAATAATTACTTATAGCAGAATTTTATATGTTAAAAAAAAAGTTATGGCATTTTAAAATATTATACTAACAACTTAAAAACATGTTTTTTTGATGAATTTTGGAAGCTCAAAATCATGTTATTGTTTCTTATATTTATATAATTAATATATGTAAATATATGTATAATTTATTAACGGGATCCCCTTGGGGATTCGGGACGGAATTGCCTACTCCGTCCCCGAAATTAAAACGGAGATTAATCTTGCCTCCGCCCCTGTCTCCGCCTCCGATTTTCTTTTTAAAAATTCTTCAAACGGGACGGCCCCTACAGGAACAGAGTCCCACGTCCATATTTATACTCTGGGATAAAAAAAAACACCGTGGATGGAATCGTAGTTAGGAATGTGCCTTCCAATGGACGCAGAGACAAGAACTTGAACCACGAAAGACCAAACCAAGATTCACAAACCTCGGTTCATCCAACAACGAATTCTCATGATGCTTTAAGAACGAAATTTTGTTCGACATCAAACATCCAAAACACCGAATTGAATTTGTGTGTTTCCCTGAAATCCCCAATTATTCCCTTCATTAAATGGATGAAAATCAGGACGACTCCATCCGGGATCACAAGCTCTGTGGTTACTTGTGCGTCGTCCTCTCGTTTCCCCAAACCACCACCCAGAATCAGACTATCGACAATGGCATTACCGAAACCCTAATTGTCAACACTTGCTGTAATATTTTTCGAGATGGAACTGATGTGGGTTTTCTGTCGTCAAACGGCATCATACTATCGTTGATCAATTCAAACTCCATCAACTCTATTTCGACCGACGGCGAAGTTACGGAAACACCCCAGAAGTCTAAGAGCGAAAGTGGCGGTGGATCAATGTCGGTATCGAGGAAGAAGTTGAGCAAGATAGGGCTAGTGCATGGTAGCGTAAGTGTGATTCATCAACTTCACGCTTTGGTAAACAACAAGTGCTTGAAGATCACTTCAAGAGTGGTTCGAATTTCTCGGAAATTGGAAGAAGGGGAGGTCAGGGTTGTGGTGCTGGTTGATGTTTATCTGCCAATTGCTTTGTGGTCTGGTTGGCAGTTTCCAAAATCAAGATCCACGGCGGCAGCTCTCTTCCGCCATTTGAGGTTCGGATCTCTTCAGTTAATTGCAATCAAATTACTTGCATATTAGTTTTAATAATCTCATCTCTCATGGTTAATTTACGTCTAGCAACCAGTCTATAAAACTTATATCTCAACTTCATTGAGAGTCTTCAATCACATACAACCCTGAATCTACTTGATTCTCAAATGATGTTTTCCTTCTATTTGGCTTCAACCCATACATTCAAACACATATCTTACATCAAACTATGCTACTCTTATAGCTTTCAAATTTCAATACCATACATTCCTCTACTTTAGGATTTCATCTTGTAAGTTGTAATCTCATATATGCCAAGTTATTCATTTGGGCATCATATATATTCAAATTTCAATGTCACAAATATCTTGTCTTTTCAAAAGACATAAATGCCCTTCTCATCGTCAAAACCAAAACTATCCCTAGAAAGCTTACACCAAGACAGATTTGCATGCACATTTTTGTAATTATCATTTTAAAGTTCCAAACTTTTTCACCATAAAACCTAACTTATTTCAAATAATTTCCTTACAGCTGTGATTGGGAAACAAGGCACACAATACTAGATTACAAAAAACTCGATCCCAACATCGACACCCAAATTTGGAACATTTCAGATTGCCATGTTCTTGGATGCACCCAACACTGCAACTCACCCGATACTTCCCGAAACAAACTATTCGAGCTCCATGAAATCTTCAAAACTCTACCAAGCGTTTCAACGAAGGGCGATTTCGTCAATTCCAAAATAAACCCTTCAGATGATTTCCCCCCATCCGGTTTCCACCTCTTACCCGATGATGTTTTGATCAATATATTAACCTCCCTCAGCCCTCTCGAACTCCTCAAAACCTCCGCCACATGTCGCCACCTAAGACTACTCTCACAAACAATAATGCCATCAATGAAACTCAAACTTTTTCCACATCAGCAGTCAGCAGTTGACTGGATGCTAAAACGGGAACGTGACCCCGAAACATTCCCGAATCCATTGTACATGAAATTGGAAACAGAAGACGGATTTGCTTTTAATGTCAATTTGGTTTCTGGAGAGCTTGTAACGGGGCCCACTCCCATGATTAAAGATTTTCGTGGGGGTATGTTTTGTGATGAACCTGGGTTAGGAAAGACCATAACTGCCCTTTCTTTAATCTTGAAAACCCTAGGCACCCTAGCGGACCCCCCAGATGGGGTGGATGTAATCTGGTGTAAACAAAATGGTGATCAGAAATGTGGGTATTATGAGTTAGGTGGAAAAAAGATTGCTGCCCGGAGCACCCGAAGAGGGCTGACCGGACTGACCGTGTCAGAAACCGTTACCCCTGATCCACCAAAGCTTATAAAATCCAGCACACGAAGCTGGACAAAAGTTAAGAGGAATCTTTTTAACGAATACGAAGGACCATCTTACCCTTCTAGTGAGAGAAAGAGAAAACATGGTGGTGATGATGATGATGATGATGATCCACTGTATGTGATCTCAAGAAACATGAAAAAGAAACTGAAGAAGGAAAAGGAGAAGGAGAAGTGGAGAGGGGGTAGTTTTGAAGTAAATGAAACATGGGTCCAGTGTGATTCATGTAGAAAATGGAGGAAGCTTTTCCAATCAAATATTACGGATTCTGCCACTGCATGGTTTTGTAGTATGAACGAAGACCCGTATCACAGAAGTTGTAATGTCCCAGAACAGTCATGGGACAACGGGCAGTCGGTCACCTACCTGCCCGGATTTTACACAAAAGGAACACCACAAGGAAAAGAAGAAAACGTTTCCTTCTTCACTAGTGTCCTTAAAGAACACTACCACTTAATCAACTTCGAAACCAAAAAAGCATTAATTTGGTTAACAAAACTAACCGAAACCCACCTCACAAAAATGGAAACCACCGGATTAGTCCACCCGCTCACCGGGACCCGCGTGTTAACCACCGGAGAGCCCCGTGGGTTCCACAAAATCTTTCAAGCTTTCGGTTTAGTCAAACGCGTTGACCAAGGCACAATGAGGTGGCACTACCCGAGAAATTTAATCGACTTATCTTTCGATTTATCCGCTTTAAAAGTCGCCCTCAACGAGCCGCTTGACTCGGTCAGATTCTATTTATCCCGGGCAACTCTAATCGTGGTCCCCGCAAACCTAGTCGACCATTGGAGGACACAGATCGAGAAACACGTGAAACCCGGGCAGCTACGCGTTTTCATTTGGGCAGATCATAAAAAACCATCGGTTCACAACGTGGCGTGGGATTACGACATTGTGATTACGACTTTCAGTCGTTTAAGCGCCGAATGGAGCCCTAAAAAAAGAAGCGTGTTGATATCGGTTCATTGGGCTCGAGTCATGTTCGACGAGGGTCACACCCTGGGCTCGAGCCTCAACCTAACGAACAAACTACAGTTATCGATATCATTGACCGCTTCAACTCGGTGGTTGTTGACCGGGACCCCGACTCCCAACACACCGAATAGTCAACTCTCGAGTCTTCAACCGATGTTGAAGTTTCTAAAGGAAGAAGCGTATGGTCAAGATCAAATGTCGTGGGAGTCTGGGATAGTTAGGCCGTTTGAGGCGAAAATGGAGGAGGGGCGAAATCGTCTTTTGGAGGTGCTCGGGAGGTGTATGATTAGTGCAAGGAAGAAGGATTTGAGGATGATTCCTGAGTGTGTTAAGAAGGTGGTGTTTTTGAATTTTAATGAGGAGCATGCGAGGAGTTATAATGAGTTGGTGGTTACGGTTAGGAGGAATATTTTAATGGCGGATTGGAATGATCCGAGTCATGTGGAAAGTTTGTTGAATCCGAAGCAATGGAAGTTTAGGAGTACTTTAATTAAGAATGTGAGATTGTCTTGTTGTGTGGCTGGACATATAAAGGTAACGGATGCGGGTCAAGATATCCAGGAAACCATGGATATTTTGGTGGAAAATGGGCTTGATCCGGTTTCCGAGGAATATGCTTTTATTAGATATAATATTTTATACGGCGGAAGCTGTATGAGGTAATGATAATTTGTATTTTTTTTTTTATGGGGCCCACTTTGATGGAGGTTTTTGAAGGTGATTTTTTTTTTTTTGATTTATAGATGTGAAGAGTGGTGTCGGTTACCTGTGATAACACCATGTAGGCATCTTTTGTGTTTGGATTGTGTGGCTTTAAACAGTGAAAAGTGTACGTTTCCAGGGTGTGACAATTTATATGAGATGCAAAGTCCTGAAACATTAGCGCGTGTAGAAAATCCTAATCCAAAGTGGCCAGTTCCAAAAGATCTCATTGAATTACAACCATCGTATAAACAGGTTTCATTGCGTTATTTGAAAATAGAGTAAATTACTGAAATCGTCCCTATGGTTTGGTTAAAATTGCACGTTTAGTCCCTAACTTTTATTTTGCACTCGGAGCGTCCCTGTGGTTTGATTTTGTTGCATTTTTCGTCCCTGTGGTTTGATTTGTTGCAAAATAAAAGTTAGAGACCAAATATGCAATTTTAACCAAACCACAGGGATGATTTCAGTAATTTACTCTTCAAAATATTATTTTCTGCTTTACAAATTTAAATTCAGGGTTCGATGCAAGAAATAGCACTTTACTTTGATTGATTTATTTATTTATTTTTTTTAAATTTATTATAGCATCCTGCTTCCATTTCGTTTCATTACAAAATTGGATTTTGAAAAATCTAACCTTTTATTGTAATGTCATTCAAGTAGAGAGTATTAGGCGTGTTTGTTAAAGGGTTAGTTTCCTAAAAGAGCTTATATTTTGTGTGTTTTCCGGATTAAACCTCATTTTTATTTTTATTTTCCTGAAAAACACCTTATATTTTTTCTAAAAAAACCCTTAACTTTGTCTTATTTTTCCAAAAAAAACACTCACAACCTTCTAACTGTTTACAAATAAGCCCTCAACTTTTTAGTGTTTCTCGAAAAAAATCCTTACATTTTTACAAGTTTTTCGGGAAAAAAAATGACTAAAAGGGCCAGATTGGAAAAAATGAAACAATGCAAGGTCTTTTTCAGAAAATAAAATAAAATTGAGGTTTAATCTGGAAAAAAACATAAAATATAATGTCTTTTATGAGATTAACCCTTCATATAATTAGGTAGATTTTCAAAGTAAAACGCCTTAATAAGAAAAATGGTATAATAGAAAGAAATGAACGTAAGATATAATAATAAACAAGTGAATGGAAGTCTGTTGCTATTTCTTGCACTTAGTCCAAAGAATAAAATTTAAAATATAATTCTATAATTACGTATATTTTCCTATGTACAATGCTTTAATAAGAAAATATTGGAAGTACTAGGCTGCAATAGAGAGAAATGAAAATTATAACACAATTGAATAGAAGTAGAAATGTGGAATGATATATAATGTAGAAATTAATAAAAAGTATGTTGCTATGTTTTTAATCTTTTGATCTTTTTATTTTGGGTTTAGGATGACTGGAATCCTGATTGGCAATCAACATCCAGCAGTAAAGTTTCATATCTTGTGAAAAGATTAAAAGATTTACAGGAATCTAATAATAAAACAGCAGACAGTTGCATCCACGATGGAAAAGACATTAATGCCCTTCTTTTACCTTTTGGGAAAACCATGACTTGTGCTAGATTTACCAACAGGTCTGTAGAGAAAGTGTTGATATTCTCTCAGTTTCTTGAGCATATACATGTCATCGAACAGCAGGTAATTAATTCTTAATTATTATTATTATTGTTTTGAGTACAAATGATGAGATATTTATCAACTCCTTTTTCAGTTGACAATTGCTGGCATTAAATTTGTGGGCATGTATAGTCCAATGCATTCTGTTAACAAGGTAAGAATTTTGTAGTTTATATAAACTGATGAATGGCAATTTTTTTATTTTTTTTTTATTGAAATTTGTAGTTTATAAAATGATGTAGGTGAAATCACTGGCTACATTCCAGCATGATGAGGAATGTATGGCTCTTTTGATGGATGGAAGTGCAGCACTTGGTCTTGATCTAAGTTTTGTGACACATGTATTTTTAATGGAGCCCATTTGGGATAAAAGGTAAATATCTAAACTCTTAACACTAGATATTATTATTTATGATATATATAAATATAAATTATATAAAAATGACATAATTTCACCCTTTTGGCAATTGACAGCATGGAGGAACAAGTGATTAGTCGTGCTCATAGAATGGGTGCTACACGCCCAATCCATGTAGAAACTTTGGCTATGCATGGCACCATTGAAGAACAGATGTTAAAATTCCTTCAGGTTTACTTTTACTTTTTAAATATAATATATATTATATTTATATAACGATTTTATATTATATTTGGTTGCAGGATACTGATGAGTGTAGAAAGTTGTTGAAGGAAGAGAATGTGCATGAGGGCCCACGAGCTAGACGAACATTGCATGATTTTGCTGAAAGTAATTATTTGGCCCAATTAAGTTTTGTGCGAAAAACCCCCAAAAATTAATTAAGGTATTATGCTTTTATATCTCTAATGTTTCCATTCATAGTAATGTCCAAAATCATTTATTAATGTATAGATTAAAGTTAAAAATATTTATTGTGTTCAAAAGTTTCACATAAAAATTTATTGCATTCCATCAAACGTGAACATACCTTATGTTTTACTTGATATTATTATCTTTCACGTAATATCAAAATGGAAGCGTAACTTCAAGGTGTTATTTCAAAAAATATATTTGAACTTATTTAATAAAGGAAAATTTGAAAGTACAGTTCATACGTACACTTTTGCAGGACAAGATCAGCTGTAGAAGTGTAGATACACCTACTTGTGGGCCCTATTGGCTAACCCTAATTTTTGTGGTGGGTCTAGATTCTAGAAATTATGGTTTTTGTAGTATAGCGAAGGGCATTTTAGATAATACTTAATGGCTTGTAGAAAGAGCATGTGTATGTAGGGTGAGGTGATACAATCTCAACATGTATTGTATTCATAAACAAAAGATTCCAATTTCTGAAAATTCGTTTTTTTTTTTTTTTTTAAGGGAAGTCAAACTTGACTAAAGACTAAAGTTATGGTCTAAGTGTCTCAAATTAAGAGAATCAGAAATTAAAAATTGTTAATTAAATATACTTATCATCAATAGCTAAGCGTATTTTAATTGTACATGATGTACTTGTTTCATTCTTGTTAATTTAATAATACGAAATCGTAGGTACATCTGGGAAATATGTTTACGGTATTTTTAAAAGATAAAAAAAAGTCACATCCCAAAATTTTGATATATAAATTTCTCATAAATTAATCAACTACAATTGATTTACAAAGATAAATACAAAATGGTACAACACCGAATTCCTAAAAAAGTTGTAAAAAAAAAACAAATAAATTCTTGGACGCAAAAATGTAAATGGTTAAGGGCAAGTGGAATAAACGTGATTTGGCTTTGCAAATTGCAATACCGGGATCGTAAGAGATCCTTCTAAACAATGACATAATAATATGTTTAAATTATAAAAAATTCATCTTTTGTCAATGTAATTACTGTTTTGGAAGTTATAATTTTTTTTAAAAATATTATTGCACTAAAGTTTTATTATTTTAACATAATCTACTAATAACTTCTGCACTAAAAATTGTTTATGAAAAATATGAACTATTGGTGAAAATTTCATTTTTTTTTTTTTCTAAGCTTACCGATTTCGTTGCTGACGTGGGACGCCTAATTATTAAATAAAATAGAAAAATCTTCATTAAAATGTTACTATTTTATGTTAATTTACAAATAAATCTCAAATTAAAATTTGTTTATGATTTGGCAAGTTTCTTCTGGTAACACATATTTTACCAGTATCATTGATATGGACGCCTAGCCATTAAATAAACTAATAAGTTGGATATGTTATGTTATATAATGCTATTTTTAGTGTAAAACTTGATATCGTGTGACATTATATATTTTGAACATGAAATCCTTCCAACGAATACTACAATAATTATATAAACTAGCATCAACTTCATTTCTTAGGTTTATAAGAAGTTTCAAATTGTCTATATAATAATTTTATGTAACGCATCATATGCATATCATCAACTTATTTCTGTAACGTCCAATTCTTACAATAATATTTTCATTTTTAAATAAGGTAAAATTTCATGTTTATAGAATCTAAGTTAAGAAAACCATTTGTTCCAAAATACAATTGTTTAAAAATCAGAGTAATGTAACAAATGTTGAATCTCCATGGCTGCTTATGAGTGTACAGTCACACCTTTTCTTTTCCATGATCACCAATGGTCTTTGAAAAACATTAATCCATAACTGTGAATCAAATTTTAGTGATTTCTCCTAAAATACCACACACAACAATTTTCATATAATGCATGTACACATGAGCCTTCAGTTTATCTAGCACTACTCCTATATCCTAACATACAAGGATATACATTGTAATACATAGTATATTTGAGGAGACTCCCTCAAAGCCTAGCAGATAACAACGCAACTCTCGCAAATCTGAAAACTAGTACTACCGGTCACCTAAACAACAATTAGGGACCAATCCTTAAATTGCTGCCGAAAATCCTCAAATTGATCTAAAGTCAAACTTGGTGAAAAAGTCAACAGTAAAATTCAAAGTCAACAGTCAAAAGTCTCACAGTTGGCCGCCACACCGTGGCTAATCTTCTACGAATGTCGTGGTGGCCTCAAGACAAAACAGCCGCGAAGACTGACTTTTCTCACGCTGTGAAGGCCAATCCTTCACGTCATGGGAACTGTTTTGGCCTTCTTAATGCATTAATCTCTTAGGTGCTGTTTGTTTTTTTAAGCAAAAATTCGTAAGTCTGTGAACCACCTCTGCAACCCTCTGCAGTAGAAGGGGTGGACCAAACGACTGCAGACTGTAATAAGAAGCGTGTTTATTTTTTTTAACATCTGCATGCTGCTGCTGCAGATATTAAAAAATTAAAATAAACTGATTTTATAATCCGGAAATAGTTTTTTAATACCGAAAATTTAATAATAACATTTCGGAAATTTTTTTATGATATTTCAGCAAAAATAATGATATTTTAACCAAAATGTAATGATATGTTAGCATAAAATAATGATATTAATCAACAAATTATTATTATTCAATATAAAAAAATGATTTTTTTTTCAAGAAGAATTAAAAAAAAAAAAAAAAAACAAAATGTGAAATAAGATTTCATAAATATATAATCAATATTTAGCAAGAAAAAAAGAATAAGAAGAGGTTGGAAGAGACCAAACAAGTGCTGCTACAAGAAGAACATGCGCAGAGGTTTTTTAATCCGAAGACTTCTGAAAAGCAAACAGCTGCGAGATGAAAAATGTTGCGCGTGTTCTATGCCGTGCAACAATAAAAGGTCTAAAGATGTTTTTTTTCCAAAAAACAAACAACACGTTAATCACTAAGGCAACTCATCCATACTTTCTAGAAGGATTTCCTACACCTAAAGCATCATAAAAATCGGTGCTTTATGGACATGCATGCCTAATGCACGTCTCTTCCAATTTAGGTAAAAAAACATGGAGGAAATGAACTCAAACTTGTGCATGTTACCAAAAACGCCATAGAACTCTAGATCTGGAACATATAACCCCAAAGGGACCTGAAGGATCCATAAAGTTACTAACTTTATGCAATCCACTCATCCAAACTAACAAGAACATGAAGAACAAGCCTCTAAACCTAGATCTGAAAGATTTCAACACTAAGGATAGCAACCTGAGGACTTATAAAGGTCCAGGAGGTGTACAACAAGATGATGAGGACGTTTGCTTGTTAGATAATGCTCAAGAACACCCTTTTCTTATCCTTCAAAGTCATAAAACACCCAAAAGCTTCAAAAATGACTCAATGGAGGCTAGGGTTTCTTAGAGGGTGAAAGGGAGGTGATGGGGGCTGAGGGTATGTAGACAATAGCCTTCGCTTCCCTTAAATGGGGCTCAAGGCCTATAAAAATTAGGGTTTTACATACTGATGGTTCTTGCATCGTGGCCAATCTATTGTTATGTCATCACACTCAAACGAGATGCGCATACATGTAGTTGGCATGTCACATCGTGGTTATCCATTCACCATGTCTTAGCAGGTTTTTCCGCCAAAACCTTACCTTTGATCTCGTTAAGCCCTCAACCGATCTATTCTAGAAAACGGATGTTACAGTTTCCCACCACTTTCCATGGTAACACACATTTACTGGTTTCATGGCTGACTTGGATGCCTCGTCATTAACTGAGTTGATGAGATAGATATCAAGTTTTTATGGAAAACATACAATTATATATACTATCATATCCATCTCACCAGCTCACCTAATGACTAGACGTTAATGTCTCTAATGTAACTGGTAAAATATGTGTTGCAGGGAGAATGGAAATCGTAAACAAAGTATAGCTTGCGACTTATTCTTAAATTATGGCAAAATAATGATACTTAAATAGAGATTTACCTAGCTCATTTAATGACTAGGTATCCACGTCAACAATGAAACAGGTAAACCGGGAAAAAGTATAAATCGTCGTTTTTACCAGTATTTCTTGCTTTTTGTAAACAAATTTTAGTTTGAGACTTATTCATAAATTAAAAAAAAAAATAATGAGATTTTAATGAAGATTTTCCGAATACAAACACTAACTAGTTAAGTTTAAAATAACAAATGTTAACATCCATTTCATTATTCTTTTCTAAATCCAAAACATCATCTTCTCCCAAATCTCTTCACCACCTACATCTATAGTTGAAAGGAAATGTTACTTATAGAACTAAAAACCGTCATTGTCTATGTTAAACACACACAGTTGAACTTTTAGGTTTTAAGAGCTATTCTCATGTCATATATATATATATATATATATATATATATATATATATATATATATATATATATATATATTGATGAGATTAAACTAACCTTTAATCTATAAAGATCGATTAGATCTTGAACAAGTAAGTAAACAAAAACGATATAAACACAATAATAAGAACAAGACAAGATGGAATCAAACGTGTCGAATGATTAAACAAAATCCTCAGAAGAGCTCGATTAAGAACATCAACTGTAGAGGATTGGAAGGTTACAAGAACGATCAAAGAAACCTGTTATCGTCTAGATGTATCACTATTCTCAGATCTCTCAAAACCTTAACCTAATATGCATGCAAGCGTAAACTTATATACAAAACATAAAAGGTTCACGGTTGGACAGGCCCAAACCGGAATACAAAGTAGCATAATCAGTTGAGCCCAAAAGACGCAATCTTCAAAATAATTTTCAGCCCAACAATCTCCCCCTTTGCGTCAATTTGGAGCGAGACCGTCATTCTCTTTTCACAGCAGAGGGCTTCTTTACCGTTTCAAAAATCTTCGGTATTAAAGCCAGAATATGATGCCTGAAGGTAATATACCAATGAAGCATGTCAGTAAAGTTCTTCTTGTCTGCTGTTGAGTTCTGTTTGCATCGGTGAATGATATTGATAATATGCTCAAGGCAATCTGTAGAAAACAGATGTTTGTCTACCAAAGCAAACAGAAACTTATGCTTGTCGCCCCTGGTGAACATAACCGTCAGATTGGAAGAATCAATTTGCCCTATCTTCATTTTATGAACATCTCCGGTCTTGGAAGTGGGCTTGACGGTCGGTTTCTTGTTCATAACTTTTGCTATTTCCTGATCCATAGTGGCGAGCTCATGGACGTAGGAAGCCAACATTCTTTTAAGATGTTTAAGAATTGGTTCATACTCTCTTTGGTTGGAGAGAAGAATGTTGTATAGCAAAATCCAATCATGCGGATTCAGACTGGGAAGATCTGCCAGAGAAATAAGATGTTCGGTGTTGGCCGTTCCTCTGTTGATTTTGAAATTAACGTTCACAAATTTCCCAGCCTGTGTCGGTTTCAGTACCTTGACTTTAATGATTTTCTGAGCGCTCCATGTCAAGTACTGCGGTTGACCGTATTTCAGATAGAAATCTATGAGCTCTCTGTCAACCTTCAGGTTCGGATGAGGGACATCGGCAGTGACATCAAAGCAAT